TCCTTCTTGTAGTGAGGGGCCCAAAACTGAACACAGTATTTGAGGTGCGGCCTCACCAGTGCCGAGTACAGGGGCACTATCACCTCCCTGGTCCTGCTGGCCACACTATTCCTGATACAAGCCAGGATGCCATTGGCCTTCTTGGCCACCTGGGCACACTGCTGGCTCATGTTCAGGCGGCTGTCAACCAACATCCCCAGGTTCTTTTCCACCAGGCAGCTCTCCAGCCACTTCCTCCCCAAGCCTGTAGTGTTGCATGGGGTTGTTGTGACCCAAGTGCAGGACCTGGCACTTAGCCTTGTTGAATCTCATGCAGTTGGCCCCGGCCCAACGATCCAGCCTGTCCAGGTCCCTCTGTAGGGTCTTCCTGCCCTCCAGCAGATCGACACTTCCACCCAACTTGGTGTCATCTGCAAACTTACTGAGGGTGCACTCGATCCCCTCATCCAGATCATCAATGAAGAAGATATTGAACAGGACGGGCCCCAACGCTGAGCCCTGGGGAACACCACTCGTGACTGGCTGCTCTAGTCCAAGTGATTTAAGACTGACTGCCAGAGAGTTTATACAAATGTGGATGTTCAGTAACCAAGAGATTTTAACTATGCAGAACCAGATAAAAAGCTAACAAACTGTAGCATTGAGTTGGAATACCTATATAATGCTTAACTTCATACAAAGCTGGTGTGAACCATGCAAGAAACTCCCTGCAGAGACCAGCCACCTTCCCCAGTCCTCCCAGTGACATGTTCATGCTATTTAGACCAACACCAGAATGGCCAGTGATGTGCCTGTGTCACATTTTAGCTCAGTAAAGATGCAGTCATTTGGGAAGAGCTTGGCATGTCAAGGTTTCTCCCTGACATGACTATGTCACCCAGCCAGCACGTTTTACCGACAGCGAGGAGCTCACGTCCACCTTACCTGAGGCCATGGAGAAGTTTGCAGAAGAAGACGGCATGGGCACACGCATTCACTGCCAGCCCCTTGCGACGCCTTGTCAGATACATCAAGGCATCCTCACCTTCTACTGCTTCATCAGTCTGAGAGGACTTGAAAGGCTCTGTAATGTCCCACATCTTGGCCCAGAAGGACAAGCATCAGCAGTGAGGATTTAGAAGAGGGACATGGCCTCTACCCATGCAGCATCACAGTCCATCCCAGCTCCTGCCAGGGTTGTACCTGCAGCGTGAGACCCCAGCCCTTCTCAGGGTTTCTCCTTGCCGACACAGGACCTAGAAAAGTGGCTGGTCCCCACATGCAACGCAGCCACTGAGAACAAGATGCATCAGTGGATGTGTGAATCCGTGCTTTCTCTAACGTTACCTTTCTCTATTACACAAGTCCCAGCTGGACTTTAAAGCCCAGCCACCCGCAAGCTGCTGGCACAGCGCTTGGGGCAGACTTCATTGGAGCTGCTCCTGGGCTGGAATTAATGAGAAAATCAAACCCTTCGGAGCAAGTGGTTCAGTTTTCCAGTTCAAAGCTATTTTTTCATTCACCCTCAGCTTTCCGAGGCCAGTGCTGTGCCTCCTGCCCTCCCCAGCTGAGCAGCCTCTCAGCTCCTTCTCCCAGCCACATATTTGCTATGAGGTCCCTGTGTTGTGGCATGGCCAACTCAGCAGCATCCAGGTGTGGGAAGCTTTGCCCAGGACCTGCGTTATTGTTTGAAGAGAGCTGCAGGGATGCTTTCAGGGGTATGAGGCAATCATCACAACAACAGAGTGACTACGGCTAGCCCAGAAAGCTCTGAAAACCAGAGCAGCTGATTCCCTCCTTTGCTAAGGAGATGGTGTTTCAGCCAGCAAAGGTGCTGGGGGTTTAGAGGTGACCAGAGCAGCACCTCCCAGCCCTGCCTGCTTCAGTATAGGACAGCTTGGTGCACCATTTAGCCTGATGCGAGGCAAATGTACAGTGCTCTTGGCCAGAGCAGGCCACTGCTGAGCTGAGTTACTTGCGTCCCCTGATGGAACCCAGAGCACGCTTCAGTGTATCACAAACCTGCACTGGAGATGGAGAGAGGTGAAAACCGGCCCATTCCCTCAGGCTCTCTGCAGCTCACCAAACTCAGGCACAGCTCCCACAGGGTGAGAGGCACCAACTGGGCTGAAACACCCTCAGCCAAGCTCATCAGGGACAAAAATGACCCCATGCCCCATTGCAAGCAGTTGGAGTCCTGTCTTGCACTGTTCACCCTGGTGCCCGTGGCACCATAGTCAGTAAGAGGAGCAAGGGTGGCCTGAATGAGGCCCCCAGGTTTCCACCTGCTCAGGTTCTGTCCTGGTTCCTGTCCCTCGATGGTGTGGCAGGCACCAGCCCTACCTGCATGGGCAGCCAGCCCAGACCCCTGCAGGCGCTCAGCCAGCCCAGCCTGGGCATGGCTGCTGCCACGGCAAGTGCCCGATTACTGGAGAATTCCACATTTTCACCCAGGAAAGCTGGGAGTGTGGGCTTTTCCAGAGCCATGCAGCATTCCCTGGAGCACAGAAGAAAGCAGAAATCAGTCGTGAGGGGAGGACCACCTTCACTGCAGCAGTCTGTTTTTTTCTGCTGGGTACAGCTGTGCCACCCCGAGAGCCAGCAGCTAGGTTAGCATGAAAAAACTAAGAGGGCAGGGGTTGAACATGTCTCTATGTCAGCTGCTGCCCACGTGTCCATGGGGAAAAGGTGCTCTCAAGCATAAGAAGGTTGGCCTCTCCAGTGGGGGCAGATGGGTTGAATTTCCAAAGGAAGCAAAAAAAAAAAAAAGTAGCATTTTGCTACCTTCATTCTACCCACGATCTACTTCATCAGCTGGACAGTGCTGCCTAAAAGCACATATATGCCAAAAGCACCCAGGGCCTAGGACAGGTATTAAAGAGGAAATCTGTATCCCACTGAGGCTGTCCCAAAATCATGCGCATCAGCTGGGCAGTGCCTGCCACATCGCTGAAAAAAAAACCCAACCAAAACCACCAGCTCTACAGTAATTTTAGGTTTCCTACTTAGGTAAAACCCACCCTCCCCAGCCATAGGACACATTCCCCTGGAAATCCTCCTCTTCCTGCCCACATGGAGCAGTCATGGGTAGCCTGGGAGATGTGGCCTCAGACAAACCCTGGAATAACTGTTGGGGCTCCCAAATGCTGCCTTATAGACAAACGTTCCCTGAAGGACCATGCATGTCAGTCAGACACTTACAGCAGCCGCGCTATCCTGGTGCTCTGGAAGGTGTTCACAAAGCTGGTATCCAGCTTCTAGCATTGGGGCGTGGGGAACAACGAAATCGCTAACCCCATCCCATGTGGCACATCAGCATTTTCTGTTACAAGTGGTCCTGCTTTGCTTGGGACATACGTACAGGTCAGAAGCACTGCATCCTGCAAACTGCATACTGAGGTCAGCGGATCAGTAGGCACAGCCAGATCACGGCTCCCCTGCTGCTGGACTTACACATCTCCTTACACAGCTGTATCATTGCTCATACCGCAAGGGGGGCATCCAGGACCCGTGCTTGGAGAATACAGGCGTGAAGATTTATTTTATGGCTTCATCAGAGTCCTCCAAGGGTATGTTCAGCTTCTCCCGTTGCTTCCTGACATAAATCCCAGCCAGTGACACCATTCCAACTCCTACAACCAAGAAACGTCCTGGCCTGGGGCAGGTGGGAGAGCCTGGCAGCAAACCTTACCCTAGCCAACAGCATCCTGGGTTGCCTTGGGATGAATGTTGCCAGCAGGTTAAGGAAGGTGATCCTTCCTCTCTGAAGTGCCATGTCCAGTTCTGGGCTCCTCAGTGCAAAAGAGACATGGACACACTGGAGAGTCCAGCAAAGGGCCACTAAGACGACTAAGGGACTGGAGCATCTCTCGTATGAGGAGGGGCCGAGAGCTAGACTGTTCAACCTGGAGAAGGCTCAGGGGGGATCTTACCAATGTGTGTAAGTATCTGATGAGAGGGAACAAAAAAAGGGGACCCAGACTCTTTTCAGCGATGCCCAGTGAGGACAAGAGGCAGTGGGCACCAACTGAAACGTGAGAGTCCACCTGAAGACAAGAAAACACCTTTTTACTGTAAGGGTGGTCAAATTCACGAACAGGTTGCCCAGAGCAGCTGAGTAATCTTCAGAATGTGGAGATACTGAAAACCCAAATAGACCCAGTGCTGGTCTGCCTGTTCCAGGTGACCCTGCTTGAGCAGGACTGGACTAGGTGATCAAGAGGTCCCTTCCAACCTAAACGATTCTGTGAGAAAAAAACCCACCAACAGAAGATTGAGAGTGCAGAGTGCAGCAGGGAGGCTGGAACCCAAACCTGCCCTCAGACTGGTACATCGTTACATATAACCTTCACCTTTGTGTGACCACCCCTGCGGCAGCAAACTCTCCTACAACATTAAAATTAATTCATCTGTGCGATGGCATCGAAGGTGTGAAATAAGGTATTGCTGCAAGCAAAGCCACTCCACGGTGACACACACTGTGCTTTTCAGGACATGAGAACACACCCTGCATACTCACTTTGTGGGAGGTGTGACAAATTGCTCAGAATTAGCACACAGAGTGACAAAGTGCTCAGTGTGGGAAGGAAATAAACAGCCCAAGGAGAAAGAGACAGCTTTATTTAAGGAATTGAAGTGAGGTCTGGAAGGATGAAGCCAGCAGTTGCCTGAGGAGTTGTGTTTCTGAGAAAGTGCAGTTCAATCTTTCCTGGCATAACACTCTCAGAGAAAAGAGATGCTGGGGCCAGCAGGTTTGTTGCCAACTGAGAGGGGTCCCTCCTCGCTCTCCGTCCAACCCAGCAGGGCTCTGACCAGCTCCATACTAGGTGCCTGTTCTTTCCTGATAAAGGGATCTTCCAAGAGCTGCAGAGTGCCAGCACAAGGATACTGGCAGAGGCTGCTGGCCTGGCTCTCTGCAGGAGTTCATACAACACCTCTTTTCCTAGGGTGAGCCAGAACAAACCAACAAAAAAAAAAAAAAAAAAAAAAAAAGAGCTTTAAGGTGCAGCTGGTCCTTTCCCCCAACACACTCTTTGACGCAAGGAGAACACAGTCCACTAGGCTTTACTCCAGCCACAGCCATGACTGGTGACGCCCAAGCCAGCTTGAGTGTTACAGGGACGGGTCAGCACTGTCTGGTGGAGAGACCCATGAGTGTGACTGACCTGTTCCTCTTGCGAGAATGAGCCCAGGCACCATCCAGAGCAAACGTAACCTTGCTGTGCCCAGCAACTTCCCTTCGTAAACAAAAGCGATGCCTGGCTTACAGCCAAGTCAAAGAGAATCAGATTCCAAAAAGAATCAACCCTGGTGGATCAGTACTGTGGTTTTGCTGGCTACATTGGAGCAGCTACCTTCAACCAGTCTGAATGCCACTGTCCCACAAGCCACAGGCACCCACTGTCACTGACGAACGTTGATCATGCAATGAGTAGTAACAGAGTTGCTCTGTTGGCACTGGACTGGGTTTTGCAGTTTCCTCTTTCACTGGCAAGGCAACGGCCAAGCAGGCTTCTTCACGGGTGCTCAGTTCTTCCATCGGATTTGCTAAAAGAAAGAATGAGACATGACTAACATCAGTGCTGAACACACATCCCTCAGGGGCCAAATTAGCGAGTCCCAATCCCTGACAAGGACAACTACGGCCAGAGGGTGCTATTTCTATCAGTTTCACCCTTCATTCCTACACTGAATGCAACCCCAAACATAAGATGAGCTTCCCAGCAGGGATAAAAAGTATGTAGGACAGCCATGCCCTTACACCTAATCTACGGCCATTTCTGGTGAGAGTCTCTGGAAGAAAAAGTAGGTGTTTCTTACCATGTTGTTGAGAATGCTGTTTATCTTCTCTTCTTCTGCAGAGCCTCGCTCCACCTTGCATTTATACGCTGTCAGCTGGATGCGATCCTTTAGATCCCTGTATGTCTAGATAAACAGCAAAAGCAGCAGTGAAGAGTAAAGAGGTCACTTCCACAGTTAGGTGGTGCAGTGTAGATGAGCAGGGCAATTCTTCAATCACCCCTCAAGTTCCCACCACAGCACAATTCCACAGCACAAATGCTAGGAGCCACTCTCCTGGCTCACTTGGCTTCCACTGGGA